TTATATATATATATATATATATATATATATATATATATACACACACACACACATATTTAAAAAGGCCAAACTTCCTGTAATCTTCAGAAAGTACAAGGAAACTTCTGACTAGCGAGTATCAAAATTCTTCAAGTGTTGGTGCATAAGGTGCCAAGTAAAACTCTTTGTTCAAAAATAAGACCAGATTTTTACACATTCAGGCCAAATGCAAGATAATTTTTTTTTGTTGTTAAACTGAAGTTCTTATAAAAGAAGCAGCAGTTTTGCAAACTGCCATTTTTTCATCAAGAACCATTTCACAGGCTCCTCAGAGAAGGCCTTCTGAAAGTCCTGTTCACCTCAATTAGTTTCAGCTAAGTCAAAAAACTGACAAGTATAAGCAAAACAACCTCCCATACAACATCAGTTTAACTCACCTTCATCTCAAAGCAGACTTTGCCTTTAGAAACTCCATAGGAGGCTCTTCCTCCAGCCCAAAGGAAAGCAAAGCTTTCCATGGTCAGAGAGGAAGCACTAAACCGGTCTCTTGAGATTTTAAAATGCAGGTCACAGTTATCTGTTAACATAAAAATAATTGTTTACTCTTTTTATTACAAAATAAAGTACAGCTGTCCAATTTTATACATTAAGGTGATTTCAGCTTTCAAAGGTGATTTTCGAGACAAACTGTCAGAAAGTGCTCAGCATCTCTCAGAAGACCAGTGAACACAATGCCGAGATGGAGCTGCAGGCTGAAGCTCAGCCAAAAATCTTAAAAAAAGCCAGCTGACAAGAATAATTTTCAAGGTGCCACCCTCACTTCTGTCACCAAATTCCCTCTTTTTTCCATCTGCTTAAAAACCTGAATTTCATCTCATCTATTTGAAGCTTTTTTGTCAGTTACCTGAGGTATTTCCATCAATATAGAGCAAAGGAAACTGCATTGTGCTCTTTGCATTACTTGCTAGATAATTCTTTTTTTTCCCAAGTCTTCTTACCCGTCATGCCCAAACCTAATGGCATCTGATAAGTAAATAGGAACATAAGTATTTTTGTTTAAGTACTGAAAGCAGTACTGTCTTTAGTTAATATAGTAATTTAGCAAGTCCAATTAGATTAAGCCAATTAAAATAAAGTCAGTTAAGTCAAGTGCAGATAGGTTAAGCACACAGCATGTGGTAAGAGAACCTACTTCACCTAAGAAACATGATCAGCACTATGAATTCACCTATCACTCTTAAGAACTTAAGTGAATCTTTTGTTTTAACAGACATCTTCAGAGCTGAACACCATGAAACTTCAAATTAATCTTCCAGTAGGTTTCAAAAAGACAATGCAAAATGGTAAACATGAGGTGCAGGATACAGCACTTGAATTCCCCAGAGCAAGGAACCCATAGAAAAAACTCCAAACCTATTTGACTGTTACAAGAAAAGAGCAAAGAGAGCAAGCAGTGAGGAGTTCTGCCCTCGTATAAAATCTGCATGCTGCCCGAGTGCACTAAAATGCAGTCTTCCCTGTATTACTGGTAACTCTCACGCATGAGATCTTGTTTTGTTTGCATACAGCCATCCCCAGTTGGAACTACAGTATTTGTGATCCAAGTATTCTCATTACTACTTTGATTTGTTGTATGAAAACCACACAAAAATCATACAGACCAAATGCACCTGTGTAAGCTACTTTTAGAACAACAAGTGAGAACAGAATGAGAACAGAATTGGAAGTTACCGCTTCCATTTAAGACACAGGTAATAAAAAGCACTTAAGAGTGCTAAACCTCTTATATGTCTGGATCATTACGGTCCAGAAAAGAGGGTGTCAAGTTGTTACACAATTCGGCCTTAAAGCTATGTTTGATGCTGATCTCCATGCAGTCTTTCAACACTTTAAACCAAACCACAAACTTTTTCCAGCAACAAAACTTTTTACTAGAAATAATAATGAAAATGGGCTACTGCTCAGTTATTGGGAAAATCGGAAGCTCCCACAAAACTGACCACTCACTAGGTTAGTAGCTAGAAATTTGACATTTAGTTACCAAAATGTCAGGGATGGCATTTTCAGCAATTCACATGGTTGCAAACTCGTATCTCCTTCCATTTCAAAACATTTATAGGGGAAAAAAAAACACTTGGAACTACTAGAAAACACGCCAGATAATGCCAAAATTTAAGCTCTCCTTCTATGGTACTTCAATAGTAACATTTATAATCTGCCTCAAAACACCCTCACTGTTTGTAGGTATTTGTCAGCCTTTCCCCCCAAGCAGCTCTGCCATCCCACTTACACAAATCACTCCCCCACCTCAAACTCTCAGGCTGCATGAATGGGTCACTTTTCAGGAGGCCTTACCTGATTTTTTTGGTGACGTTTAAACAGAAAACATGAAAAAAACCCACTCCACTCGTCGGTACATATGTAGGGCCTCAGCAAGCTATGCAGGGAGCTCACTTCACATAATTTACTGCTGTAACCTCTTACACTATAGATAACTCTCAGAACTTTTTGAAGTGAAAAGCTTATGTGCTATATAATTAGTTTCTCAAGCTGTTTCCAGGGTGTTCTATGCTCACTTTACACTTGACCAAATTAGTTTCCATACTAGATTAGTGTTTTGGCCAAAACTCCTTCAGAAAACTGTGTATCATGGACTTCATGGGAAAATCAAGCTTATTACTGCTAACGTAAAGATCCATCTTTATATATCTTTTGTATATTGAAAATGGGTGGAAACATTTCTAATTGTTTAAGATTACTTGGTAATGACGGTCAAGGAATGTATTCACTCCACATTTCAGAAAGTGTGGTTTTAAGATAAAAAGTGTAACACCACATCTCTCCAGAGTAAAGGAAAGGACGTTTACTCACAAGTATCGAGACAAACCACTGTGTCATCAAAGTGTTCGTCTTCTTCTTCAACAGGTGGTTGAGGGGACTTGGCCCTGAACAAAACAAAAACAAACAAAAGATAATAAAGCTACATGTATTTTCAGGCTGTTAAAATAAGCATTTCTGTAATTTTCTCCTCAGTCACAAAAAGCTGCCCAGCATCAAGTTTATTTACCTGCTGTACTTATTTTCCTCAATGTATTCAAAATATCCACGGCCATGGTCTTCCCGTGGCCTCTTCACTCCCCTCTTTTTCTCACCAGGTTTTTGTTCCGTTTTAGCATCTCCTGCAATAGAATTAATGATATATTTTAATTCACAAAGCAACCCTTTCATTGGGAATAAAAGCCGGTTTCAACTTTAGAAACTCTAAGAACCTACAGCACGAGAAGAGCAATAGTATCCTAAAGAATTTCGATTTGTACCGAAAAATAAATATGACTCTCGAATTTTCTCAGAGAACTCAAAACTTGTCTGCTAAATCATTTCTGATCCGCGACAGAAGTGGCCCGTACACCACACAGCAGCTGGCAGTCCTCGCTGCTAAGATCCCCACAGAAAAGCCAGACCGCTCCCAAGCGGCGGTGGAGGGGGGAAAGAAATCGGACAAAAAAACCCCTCCCCCCGCCCGCCCCCCCTCC